ATTATTTCAAACAAGTTTTAATTTCTGTTCTTCAACTCAACCAGATTTATTCTGGACTTTCAGTTTCGCTTTCAATATCCTGTTAAATGCGTGAGCGAAATTTTCTATTACTCCACGTCTAGTTTAGTCAATAACTAGATATACACACGCAGATCGTCCCTCTCGGTTTCTAACTCTATGCTCTTAAATTCCACGCGAGAAAAGATTTCACGGCGTCACGCAAGAGAAAAAGAGAGTCTTTTCGAGGAGAGGCGAGGCTAGGCTGATCGTGTGTACATTCTAGATGTACGTAATCTCTATTGCTCCTTCGGTTCCTCGCCGTTGGCCAAGCATGAAAAAGCACAGCGTAGGTAGAAAAATGTAGGTGTAAGATAGAAGAATGTAAGAACGAGAAAAGAAGGTGACAAGGAAGGAGGAGAGGCCAGTGTGTTTCATTCGACGTTCTTCAAGGCGTTGAGGAAAACTCAAAATAAGAGGAAGGGAAAAGGGAGAAGATGGAGGAGATGAGAGACTGATGAGACGGAGACATGGACGAGAGAGAAACGAGTGGGAAGGCCAAAAGGCCAAAAAGTGCGTGAGGAAGAAACACGATACAGCCGGGCCAGATCTTGAGGCCCTGGAAGGCGATATCCCTGATTCGTGCCGACGTGTATGGATCATACTCGGCCCTCTGTTAGCTCGTGGCCCCGAAAAAACAACGGCCCTAATCAGAATCAAATCTACTGTCCGATTGTATGTCGAGACGACGTGGAAAAAGCGCGGAATTTCTTGCGACTTCTGACTGCTCTTGCCGCCGACAAGAATCCGCCGTTTGACTCGGCGACGAGCGGTCGGTCGCCTTTGAGTTCGATTTGCGTCGCTTCGGACCGCGTCGGAAAATTCAAAGCACCTCGTCCGAGCGCGTCCCGAGTTTTGACAGCCGCTGATGAGTAGGGCGGAAAAATGTTGACAGCTAATGAACGTCCGGTGTTTCGAGAGCGATCGATCTTATAACGGTGTTTTGACAATTTCATCCGAAATTAGTGGGACAACTTTTATATTTATTATAAAAACTGTACCTTTTTTTCTTTTTATAAATAATTGTTTCTCACAAAGATATTTCTCAATTTAAGAGTGAATGTAATACGTAAGAATATACAGGCTTGCAACAGATCATTCAGAATCATTTAACTTGAACTCTCGCTTGAACAAAACAGGGTATCTACTCTTACCATATATTCGCGAGACGTTTTCACGCGCGCTTGACGCCGAAGTCTGAATATTTCCCTCCGACGGAGCTGCGGCGCGTTTAGACTGGGAAAAAACAAACGGAAGAGATCGCAGGGGGAGGAAAAGATGGGACAGCGAGAAGTGATGCTAGAAAGAGTGGGGGGGGGAAATAAATAAACAAGATAGGCGGACGCGCACGGAGAGCGGGATGCATAATACACACAGTGGTTGCGGCACAGACAGGAAGGAAGCGCAGCCAACCGCAAAGCCCGCGGGGTCTGAGAGAGGTGCATACGTAATTGCGGGGCCACGCGGGAGGCTTTCTTTTCTCTCTCTTTCTCTCTATCTCTTTCGCTTCCTATCTCTTTTGTAAGTTAAGTCTTGTCCCTTCTTCGCTATGCTCCTCTCTCTCTTCCCCGCCGTGCGCGGATCCCTCGTCGTCGTTGTCGACGATGACGACGACGACGACGACGGAGAAGAGTGTTGTTCGGGCCGGAGTCGGTACGACGAACGTGGCCGGACAGCAGTGTCGGTTCGCGCGCGTTGCTCCGGTGTGCAAAATGTGTGCAACCGCGGCACACACCGACCGACCGGCGCCATCTTGCGCAAATGCACACGCCAGCGGAAGGCGGAGCCTCTCCCGAAGGGCCTCTCCGTCGCTCTCTCTGCCATCGTTTCTCTCTCTCTCTCTCTCTCTCTCTCTCTCTCTCTCTCTCTCTCTGTCCATCTGTCTGTCTTTCTCTCTCGTTCTTCCCTTCCCCTCTCTATCTCTCTTTCTCTTTCTCTCTGTCTAGTTCATCGTAGCAGATGCAGCTTCACCGCGATCAATCTTCCTCCTCGTCGCCGCGTTTCGTTCCCTCCGGAGTTCTCTCCTCTCACCTCAGACACAGACATAGTGTGATTCCTCCGCTCTCTGCGGTAGCTCCGGTATATCGTATCCGCCTCCGTTTCCTCCATGCTTCGAGAATTTAAGGTAGATCTTAGGACCGATTCTATCAACGCCGATTGATTCTCGCCGATACGCGAGATATGTTTAAACAATATTCTCTCTCCAAGTCGTATATCGTGAGATAATAAGTGTGAAATAATCTTTGAAAAATTATATATATCTTGTTCCATAAAAATGGCAAAGAGTCGCGTGGGTTTCGCGCGACTACCGCGGTCGAGCTTTGACTTCAACATCGAACTCTTCGCGAAACGGGAATTCAATTTCGTGGAATGAATTTCTACTTACATTCTCTTAGGCCACATATTTTTCGCCTGGGTACACTTACTCGGGCGCCTTTTGCGATCGAAAGAGAATGAAAGAAAGACAGAGAGAGAGAGAGAGAGAGGGAGGGAGGGAGGGAGGGAGGGAGTTTGATCGGATGGGAGGATACGGGGTGAAATTGCATGTTATTACGCGAAAGCTGCTGGGGGCGCCCGACATGAAATGAGACGTTATTTTCTACGGGAATTTCGTGCACGTACCGGGATTATATTATAAGGCGCGCGCGAGCTCCTGCAGCAACGGGGGAGGGCGACTCCTTACCCGTGGGATACTTTCGGGGCATTCCTCGGGTGCTTAACTGCTCCCTGCGATCTTCCTCTCAGCGCCGCGGATCTCCTAACGAAAGTCATTCGCGCGAGAATCGTTAACGAGTTATTCCGCGGAGATCGCGTGCGTCTCGCCGTCGTTGTTACGGGCGATAATTGGCCCTCGCTAACCGCGAGGATAATGACGAGCGAGTTTCCATCGGAGAATCTCTCTTTCGACGGAAAAATGGAATTCAGCGGAGCGGCTCCTCGTCCTT